ATGGTTGGTTTGGAATCAGGATTTTTGTCCAACTCCCCTAGGTGAACTACCAGTGGTCCACCAAACCCGGATATCGGCTTTTCATCCTATCACTTTGGTAGGAAAACTCCTCCACCACGAGAAGGCAGTGAGTAGGGTTTTCTCAGCAGAGGCTTGGTCGTATGGTAGCATTTCGAGAGGTGTAAGGGAAGGGGGTGACCAGCCACAACCCTAGACACCCTCTCCCGACCATGTTGAGGCTTTCAGAGGCATTTTTACCATAAATGTCGAGTGAAACAAATCATTGGATAGCAACCTCATCAATGGAGCTTATTGTGTGCTATTTTCTCACTTCATATTGCTTTTTATTCGTGACTAATTTGATAACCATTCATTTGCGAATATGAGTTCTAGTCTTATCATTGGTATGCTTGTTCCATATAGTACATTACTCAACGCCTTTGGGTGCTTGTAAACGCGTATGTGCATCAGAGATTGGGGTTATTTTTAGACGAATGACCTTGTCCGTCTGCCCCTTAGTACGTGGTAATTTACAAGATACTGATAACTTGACACATGTGGATTTGTTTATTCTCGCCTTCCACCCAACAAGACACCTCCAATTCTTCGGGAAGATGAGCGATTTGTCATTGTTCATACACACATTGCCATTTTGAGACATACTTTATTCCATCTCTCAGGTTGAAACTTGTATGGTTAATCCGGGTGATATTTTGTTGCATGCATGTACACGGTAGATAGAAATCACGTCAATAAAAGTTTTGGTTTTTGCTCATTTTTGGAGGTGTACTCCTTTTGGGGCCAGACCTATTGGACTGCTTGAACGAGACATAGGTTTGTTTATCCGTGTTCGTCTCTTATACACCTTGATGGCATAGGCAGTGAAAGGGCTAAACCCAACAGTCACGATGGTTTACTATTAAGCTGCGGTAGCGATGGCATGAGTCGTTTTTCTGCGAGTGGCGTACTACTTAAAAGTCCTATAGGATTGGTGCGGTACTCGATCGGATGAGCACAAACTAGCTGAAACCCGAGTTTGGTGGCGTTTGCAGCGTTCGAACCTCATGCTCAAATGGTTATGTCCATCGCTGAAAGACACAAAAGTCACTCGATCAACGCTTCCTAGAGGCAGATTAAGTCTGGATAGTGGTGTGTTTGTGCTTCCTGGACAATTTTTGTATCACTTCACTAGTTTGCTCATCTTTTAGTTATCATCGTCATGTCAGGAGATTCGTTCCTCTACGAATTTACCACTCCTCCAAAGCTCCGCCGCCACACTTTCTCGAACTCCTTGATTTCTGTATTACATTTTTCTACGTACATGGACTGATATTCTTTGTGATGACAAAACCGGGGAGTTCTTCATGTCACTATGGGGAAACTGAAGCATCATCACCGAACACCTGTATGCGGGAGAGTTTACCTGTTGTTATGCAAAACGTCTCAGTATTCGCTGTTTAGCTGGGTTGGATAAAACAAACGGTAATAGTAATACCGTATTGAGCAATCCACATGATTGTACGCTTCTACGCATAAGACTCTTGGGTACATTGCATCTCTTGATTTTCTGCAGAACACAGTCGTTTGCAGATTTCTATCCGTATTGTTTTGTGCACGTGTCTCAAAGAGAACGAGAAGTCTCCCCCTTGTGAGTAATGGCGTACAATCTAGTCGCTTATTCGGTGGCACAGAGCTCATCATATTTGAAATGACCTGATTTCAAATTTCACTTTCATTGGCAGCTTAGATACGGCACATGGCCTTTCTCTCCGATCCGTGGATGCGCGTGTGCATCAGTGTTAAGGACAACATAGACAGATAGATAGGATATTTCGGTGACAGTCATTTCTGTGTCCCATCATTAATTGCCATAAAGTCGATCCAAAATGCAAACGAATAGAGTCATTGGAAATGTCAAATGAATATGAGGTCATCTCTCGCGTTCAGAAGATTTATTTGCAGCGCAAACGGCAGTAGACACTGGAGGAGGTAGAAGGAGAGGTATAGGGTCAGTAGATGAAAATCAACACAAAGGTAGTTTCAGGATGTGTGGAAAATCATATCCGAGTATAGCAGAATAAGTCAAATGGACGCAGCGTATAATACAACGCAGTTCTTTGTAAGCAAGAGGACAGGCGAGCTGCATCCACAAGAAGAGATGAGAGCTAATTTCTACGGTACTTTGCCTTTGTAATTATATGAAATTTCTGAATAAGTTCTCCGTGGTAGTTTTTTATGATTGGCTAGCTGCTCCAAAACTTTATTTGGAGAGTGTTTGGCGTCAGTACTCTGTCGATCAGAATCAATTTGCCATTGGGTTTTGAGATCAAATCGTGTTTCCTGTCGCTGATTCTTCTTTAGATGAGTAAACTGGAATCCGCATTCCTAGAAGAGTCTCCGTCTGCAACTGTAGCTGGCAGCAGTACCACAATGGCCACTCCAGCCGGGTCAACTGTGATCCTAGCACCCACACTCCTCACAACCAATACAGCCGGACTGACAACTGTCGCGTCCAATTCACTCACTGCGGGTCGCCAATTCACCTTGGTCAACGGGACTGCAGCCGACCTGGCAGGTGCCACGGTCATTACACCCCAGAGTTCCGGTCAAGATATCAAAGTTCCCACAGCCGCAATGACCAGTTTGGGCACTCCAATCTCCACCTCGCTCGGTACCACAATCATTTTGCCCATTTCTCCTCAGGTAAGTATTACACGCAACGCCAAACTGTTAGTTATCTGTTTACACTGTTAATTTGTACGTATACCGTTTGATCCTCTAGTTATTTCTGTGGTAGAGCCTACCATACATGTTGATGCTTTGAGATGACAGTAACCGCACATAGGCCTTCGTAACAGATCTAGTTAGCCGGGTGTACCACGAAGTAACATCTATCTAGCATGCGAACAAACATAATGACCCTTTTTGAGCCATTCCTGTTGACCTATTCGTTGCTGCTTTTGAAGGGAGTATGGTTGAATATGTTTCTCTTTGCCAAAGATCTTACCACTTATACTGAAAGTGAAATCGCTGAGTATTTGGATTGGAATAGAAGGTAGTCGTATCAGAGTTTCAATGCCTTCGACATTAAATAATTCGACTAGTGTCATTCATTCTTTATCTCGTGTTTGCACCTGCGTCTCTGCATACGGTTCAAACAATTGGTCCATTTTGTTAAGATTTGTTTTGTCCGTAAGGTTCGACTGATCTGTTATTGATTCAGCTACTGATGTTTCTGAAGAAAGCAAAACTGGTAGTCCAGATTACCATCTCACTTGAACCTACATTTGATCTCAGCAGACTGCTGGTGTATATAATTTTTGTTGTTTGCTTGTTTTGCTTCGTTTATGTAATGCATTTAATAGGGAGATCAGACATTCACGCGGATGAATTATTTCCCGTATTAACCCCCTACCGAGTATCGCGATCTCGGAAGCCGAGCCAACTCCTGATAGATTTTCCCCTATCTACCTCGTTCTTTAGCGCTATTTCGTTGATTGTCTTCCGCGTTCTCGCTTCCATTCTAGACTAGCGTTCGCAAACAATACACGAAGATGTAGGTGTCGTCCCGCCATCCGAAGCGCGGGCCTGAGCCACCATAGACAGTGAAACAAAACGTCATTTGTCAACGAGGTGGTGTCAGCACCCACCACCTGCTTCATAATGCGTTTCTTACTGAGATGTTTCTCCCATCAAACACAGGCAATGCTTCGTGGCCGGCACCAAGCACTATGGCTTTGTACGCCCAGCACTTCAGAGACTTACGTCATGTGTACTCCGTAGGTGTCTATAATTGGAGTTGACGAAACTCCTGGGCTCAGTATGGCAAAGGGAAGAGGTTCCAACTGAATGGTGTGAATCGGTGATCATACTGATTTACAAGAAAGGCGTCAGGTCCTCCTGTAAAAACCACAGAGGAATTAGTTTAATCAACATCGTCTCCAAACTTCTCGCTCCATCGATTGTCTGCCGCACGTGAACGGTGCACGCGTGAGAACCAGGCTGGTTTTACACCTGGTCGAGGTTTTATCGACCACATCTTCACTCTCCGCCAAATTCTGGACGATCGACACTCTTTTCATAGACCCACCATCTCTGTCTTCTTGGATCTGAAAGCGGCTTTCGACTCAATCGACCGCTCTAAACTCTGACACTTCCTTTCTGTGAAAGGTGTATCCCAGATTTTTATTTGCAATATTACGATCGCTTTATACTACTAGTCGAAGTCGGGTTCAGGCTTACGGCACTTTTTCGCCCGAGTTCACCACGGAAAGTGGTGTTCGTCAGGGTTGCCCCCTTTCTTCATTCTTTTTGACTTTGTTATAGTCTGATTGAAACAGCCCTATCCTCGTGCGAGGATAGTGGCATCGATTTACTCCCAGGTGGCAGGCTGTCTGATCTAGAATATGCAGACGACATTGTGCAGCTAAGTGAAGATCCAGGTAAGTTACAAGCTTTTCTGGATAGTTTGAGTGCTAGTGTAGCCATGTTCGGTGTGCGTTTTGCACCTTCAAAGTATAAAATGCTGCAAGACTGGGTTGGTCCAGCACCCAGAGTCACTCTAACCGGGGAAGTAATAGAGCAAATGGATAAGTTTTGTTATCGGAGAAGCGACATCTCAGCCGGTGGACGCATCACGGATGAAGTGTCAGCTCGCATACAGAAGGCTGTTGGCATTTGCCAACTTGAGACATCTGTAGCGCCGTCGCGACATTCGGTTGTCTGTGAAGGATCGAGTGTACACCGCAGCAATTCGGCCAGTTCTGCTATTCGGCGCAGATACTTGACCATTAAGAAAACAGGACAAAGATAGACTATCGGTGTTTGATCAACGCTGTCTACGCAGCATTGCACGAATTTGGTGGGGTAGCCGGATGAGCAATGCTGAGATCAGGCGCAAATTTTTAGGCAACCGCGATCGCCCAATGGAACAAGTGGTCGAAAACTTCAAAGATTGCGTTGGTTGGGGCATGCGTTACGCATGTCACTAAATAGGTTGCCACGGCGAGCGATGTTTGCCGAGGCAGGTAGTGGGTGGAAGAAAGCCAAGGGTGGTCAAGCTAAGACCTAGCATGAGGGTATGAAAACGCTAACCAGGATTCTGAGTCACATGGGTCCTGTTAGGTTCCCTGGGTGGGGACCTCGGGAAGATCGTAACTGATGGTTAGAGACACTGAACGATATGGTTGAGTGTCGTAAACAGTGAGGTTCGTGCATTTCAATTTCTTTGCATCATTAGTCCACTGAACTTCTCAATTTTTTCTTTGATCCTGCTTTCAATCTTTCCTGTTCTACTAATGTTCATCCAAATGGGCAGTCAAAAGACAGCAACCAAAACCGGCTCACGATAGTGCATGGTTAATGGCTGTACAAACTGAAAACTGAGAGGATACTGGTCTGTGGTTTTGTATGTTAGACTTCTGTCCACTCTTGTGAAGTGCCAACCACAGTGGCTGTCTTCCAGTCACTCGGTAGAACTATCCGCTAGTGATGCTAGGAAGAGCAGGCTCACTAGTATAGCAGGGATATCGGCGAGTGGTTTAAGGATGGCTGGATTAGTCCCGTTTGGCCCAGGTGTTTTATTTATTTATTTATTTTTATTACAAATGAATTGATTTACAGCAAAAGGGGTAAACCTCATAATCAATGATATAATGTAAGGGGGAGGTGTGTGTGTGTGGGGGAAACATTCAAGTAAGAAACAATTTGTTAATCCTGCTTTTGAAAAGGATAAGGTTATAAGAGCTGGGAAACACGGAAATGGGCTGAGTGTTCCACAATTTCGCAGTCCTCGGGAAGAAAAGAAGATTGAAAGTCCAACATATGGGGACAGAAACCTGATAAGGGTGACTGGTCGTCTAGGAACGAGATGAACGAGAGAAGTTCAATGGAATGGGAACCGCTGAAGCGAGTTCGGAAGAGCAGAAACCAAAATAGTAACGATAGAAAAGAGAGAATGAAGCAACTGCCCCGCGATGGGAAAGCGACTGCAAGGTGGAAGTTAAAGACTGTTCGTCGATCAGCCGAATGGCTTTACGTTGAACACGGTCGATGATAGAAAGAGCGGAATACGAAGCTCCACCCCATACGAGACCGCAGTATTCAAGAATCAGGCGGATTCGAGCTTTGTATATAAGAAGAAGGCGCTTGGGTGTAAAGAAACGCCTTGCTCGGGATAGAAAACCAACTTTGCGCGAAGTGCGAGAGGCAAGTGTAGAGATAAAAGGGGACCAACAGAGAGAAAAATTTATGGATAAACCCAGGAGGAAGAGAGAATTTGTGGAACCAAGGGACAGAATCAAAACTCAACTGAGGAGAAAAGGAGACATGTTTAGG